TGTGTTTGAGCCTGAACCAGACTACTTCTTGCCCCAACCTGATTCATATTCCAAATCTGGTACTGTACTTGAGTGGCTCACTCAAAACCATGAAAAGAATCAAGAGGAAAATATCTGCACCGATTTGCGGCTGCCGACCCTGTTTTATGGCTCAACCCTCATGTCTCCGATGGCAGCAAACCTTGACTCCGCCGGCTCCTGCTCGAAGGTCCAGACGTGCGAGCACTCCGCGCAGCGGCCCTTCGCCAGTTGGCCCAGGAGGCACAAGAAGCACATCCACCGCGCCTCGCGGGCGTGCATGCGGCCGAAGCGTTGACGAGGGATATTTTGCTAGCATGGTTGCGGCTCAAAAAAGAGGAATCCCCAAAATGGCACTGATTTTGAGCCGCCCAAAGGGTACAACCTAACAAGCTCTGACAAGGGCCTGGCCAATGAATCACAAACCCTACCCACCACTGGGAAGTACACGCAAGCACGCACAAACACACAAGCAGGCAGGCAGGCAGACAGGCAGGCAGGCAAGCAACCAAGAAAGCAAACACGCAAACGAAAAAACAAACAACCAACTTAGCTCGATCCAACCGTGTATATATCTATATCTGAATTCATATTCAGGCGTGTTTGCTATATTTGTCTGCAGCCACTTGGCTTCAGTTACCATCCTCGCCAGCCAACCCACTCCGGCCTCCTCGGTCTCAGATTCGTCCAGCTCAGCAAATTCGGCAAGCAAAGGCTCGGGTACGGTGATGTTCACCACCTCGACAACACCAAGCCCCCCGCTGCAATCATAGCTTGAACACAGGGGCAAGCTTTGGGACAGTGACAGTCGTTGCTCAATTGTCCTTCAGTTGGCGGGGAGACCATCACATAATGTTCAGTACCAAACTTATCACTCAAAACATGCTCAATAGCCGCACATCGGAACCAGACAAAAGACTAACGGCCAGCCATCTGTTGCTCTCCTTCTACATGACTACTTTGACCAGGATAGCCTGAACGCTTATCTTGCAAATGCCATGTGAAAGGAGAGCAGTCGGAACGGGGTTACTTAGCTGACGGGCATCCCGAAATCCTACAAGGACCCCAGCTTGAAGGTAGCGAGGCCCTTCCCAGCCATGACACGCATGGCCCGCTCACGGGTTCACGGCGACCCTGAAATGATCAGGCAAACGGGGTTCCTGAACATCCAAAAACCACATGCGAAAGCACGTAGGGATCCTCGAGATCAGCTGGTTGGGTGATTCTTTGCCTGGCCTTCTCCGAACCCTGGAATAAACCGGAGGAAGGGCCCCCGGCCGTAGGCTTCGCCGCACGTGTTGAATTCGGCCGGCAAGGACCGAAGATGGCCCAAAGAATGCGGAAGATCACCTTGGAAGACACCCACTGGAAGACTCAAGAAAAGCAAGGCCAGTTGCATGGCGAAAAGGTCAAGACTTCGAGCGATCACGAAAACCTCGCAGTGTTCCGTCTACGTGGACCCTCAAACTACCACTAAAAACTAATTGAAATTTTCACCAAAAGTCTAGAACCCTGACGTTCCAGACTGACGAGAAAGAACACGCTTGCTTTCCTGCCCAGCGGCAATTGCTTCGTTTTCTCTCACTGATTTTATTCACCCCTTTGCCCCACATGGGCGTGTCGTTTTTGTTGAGGATACCCTACGCCTTGCGGTTGGTGTTCAAGGGGAAACTTCAAAGAACAACCTGTCGTTGTTGTTGAGGTTGCCCTTTTTGGTCGGTTGGTGAAGGGGAAGCCACAAGGAAACCCCGCCCTTTTGGGGCCTCACCCCCCCCCAACAAAAAAACAAAAAACTATGGTTTCGGTTGGCTTCAAAGGGGAAACCACAAGGAAAAGCGTTTTTTTTGGGCCCCCGCGCAAAATATATGTATACAAAGTATGGTTTCGGTTGGTTTCACCTCAAAAACCGACACGCCCAACGCCCAGATCCCCCCCCCCCCCCTCCCCGTCGGAGCCGCCTCAGTGCCGAGCCCGGGGCGCAGCAGCTCCGGCAGCAGCGAGGCCGCCAGCGCAGCGCTGGGCGCGAGGAGCAGCGGGGGCTCGCACAGCTCGCAGCCGTAGAGCAGCAGAGACACCTCGATCCGGGCCAAGACCGCAATCTTCCAATATTTCTTGGCTGCTGCAACGACCCCCCTGCAAAAAGTTTTTCACTTGTTGGTGGTTTAGTGAAAAATTGTGGAAAACCCGACTTGATTTCCCCAGAAGTTGAAGTCTAAAGATCCAACCCAAGAGCAGTCAAGGTATGTTGGTTTACTAGCATGGCGCGGACACGTGCTTCCCAAGCACAGCAAACGTGGCTTGCTGAAACCTCCCTCTGTTTTTCAGGGCCCCGCGCCAGCAGCCCTGCGCTCTGGCTTCCGCAGGCCCGCGCCAGGCCGCCCAGGCTGCTGGCGTCCAGACATCCCAGCAGCAGCAGGCGAGCGGAGCAGCAGCCCGCGGGCAGATCCTGCGCGGATCCAAGCCGCACCCGGTGAGGAAAAAAAGCCGCACGCGTTTGTCCAGTCCCCACGTCTCACAACGTCCAGTTGGGAGTACAGGCCGTCCGGAGAAAAAAAAGAGGGAAGACACACAAGAAGCATCACCAACCAAACGCGACCAATGCACAACCTAAAAGCTGCGTTGTTGGCCGAAGTGCAAACAGTTCCGCAAGACCCTCTTTAGCGTCACCCAGCCGACAATTCTGAGCTCCTCGTATTCCTCAAAGTCGGTCTTTTTTGGCTCCTGAGCGTGCGGCCGGTCGCCTTCAAATTAGGGACACCTTCTTTTGGATTCGCCCTCACCCTGGGCTGATCTTTCCGAATTCCATGGGAAATGTTAACACTCGCAACGGAAGCACACGCAGTCAGAAATCGCAAGCGCAGTTGGCCGCAGTGCGCAAAGATTAAAACAACAAAGCCCGATCAGCTTTCGAAAGAAAATCTTGATCACTGCAAGTGCTCCTAGAACAATAGTATGGCTGCTGAGCGGCAATGGCCGTGAAGGTGCTCGCCAACATGCTGGTCATAGGGCTTGCGGACTGCGCCTGGGCAAGCGGCGAAATCAACGTGCCTCTTTGCTTGACGGAGCTTCAAAGGAAGACATGCGCAGGTTGTGCTACCTGCAAAAATAAAGAATGGCTTTCCTGGGGTTGCATCGCGCCTACCCCAGCGACCAACAAACCAGCAAGCCCTGCGACAATGGGCACTGATTAGAGCAGGCGTGCAAAGAACGGCTTGAAGATCACATTCCCATATTGTTTTCCCCACCTGGTGCTTGGCTACAAGAGTTCCAGCAGCTCGCGAGGCTATGTAAACAAAACATGTGTAGGGACCGTTGACCTTTTCCCTTTGCACATGTACTTGCGCTAGTCAGGGGCAATCGCCTGATGAAGGTACACAATGGTGGCTGTGGCCGCTCGGCATTGCACCCTGGGACTGAACCAAGCTGACCATGGAGACAATTGAGCATCACAGTGAAGAGAAAAACGTGTGGTGCCGTTCAACCTCGAACTGGCTTGCTTTCCAGAAGCTACTTGCAAGAAACAAATGCTGGCAAACGGAACGGTCTCACATGCAATGGCAGCACACATGGAATGCTTGCTCAGCTTCTCCCTCCCCGCGAACAGCCTTCGTGTCTTGCCCTGGCAGCGGCAAACATGCTTGCCTCTGCTTGGGCAATGTGAGCTTTAGCGAGTCGTTCTGACGACTGTTGCTGGGTGTTGGAGGACCCATGTGGCATGGACGTGGACGTTCATGTGAGAGGGCCTCCTCTGAGGTTTATACTGCGCAAGGACGACATCCTGCAACACCTATGAAACCTCGAAAAATGATTCCCCTGCAAGTACCAATAAAAACTTGGTCTTCCATGGTGTGTTCGATGTCGTCTATCCACAGTCGCTTTCACCTTTCCGGGCTAGCAGCCCAAATGTGTGCAACGTGTGCTGGTAGTGGCCCAAAGGGCCCCCGCCTTCTCTGCCTCCTGGGCCCACCAAGCATCGAAGTCCGCCTGGCGTCAAAGTCTAGCGCACACTTTCAAGTTTTCGCCTGGGAGACAACTGCAGGCCAGAAACACAAGGGCCCAGAAAGAAGGACCCGAACTTCGAAAGAACCCGAACGTAGATCCAATCAGGTCTTGTTGGATGCTTGCCGCTTCCCCTGTAAGGCCCTTAATCAACATGGGAATGGGATGCTGAACTCGTAGCCAGCGACAGGAAGACTGGCACATATAATCAAATATACTTGCCCTACTTGCATTAGGAAGTCAATCAACGGTGACAGTATGTGTCTGTGTCTTTGCCGAGCCTACCTGAACCCCCAAGCAACCCAGGATCCGCCATGAAGATTGACCACTGTCCAATCAGGAAAGTCCCAACTGCCACCTGGTGGTTTGATTTGACCCATTGCCATTTTGGAGACCGCCACGTAACCTCCCCTCCATCCCCCCATGGGGGGCGCCGCCCGCCTGTACCTTCTCCGCCAGCTGCTGAAAGCTTCGGGGCGCCCTGCACCCCACGATCCGGGGCACCTACAAGGCTCTGCGACATGGATGTTCAGCCCAGCTAGGCACAGTTCATAAGTTCCAACCTTCTTGATTTACTAATCAAATGGGTTGCAGCATCCACATGACTGACGATCATGTGGTTACTTGACTTGACGGCAAGCTGGCACCGCTTTCAAAAGGAGCCAACCCTTCGTGGATGAGGGTGGTTGGCGCCCTCGAAAAAACCAAGCCTAGTCTTTCTACACAGGCAAACCGCCAAGCCCAACAGCTGATTTGCCAATGTCGAACTGGCAAGCTCAAGCCCATCACAGCAGCACGACACTAACCAGCTGGTGCTAAGCAGGGACTGAGAGGGAATGGCCCCTATAAACTATCCCTGATTTGGTTTCCCTCAGACAAGTCCCTTCTCATTCCCCATCGCGCCAGCAAGCTAAAGATGGGCTGCCTTGCGGCGCAAAGAGTTCAGAGGACAAGCTGAGCCCGCCTGTTCGGAGACCCAAGAGCGCAAGGCGAGGCCCTCCTAAACAGAAACTTCGGGGACCCGAGTGAGCACACCCAGGGCACATTTTACCATAATTGGAGTTAGGGCCAGCTATAGAATGTATATGTTACTGTTTGCTTCACTTTGAGACACTGGTAAAATGTAAAATGTATCCTAACTCTACACCAGTTACGAAATGTCCAAAAGCTGATTTAAGGGATCCCGAAGTGACGGACCTTGATCATGCTCGCATTCCCCAAATGAGCTCGCTTGTTGTGACAATTAGCTAGATGTCACCCAATGTTGGTGCAGCCATACGGCTGGGATACTGCAAGTGCCACATGAATGCAACCAAGTAATTCAATGGTGCCTGACACTGCCCAATGCAAGGTGGGAACTGCCCCACTTCTCAAGCAGCCGGAACATGAGCAGCATGAGGCACACAACAACGAGATGCTGTGCCGCGTGTTCGCAGTCATGTGTTTCGTTTTTTGTGCCCCCTGCTGCGGGCCGGCATGCAGGACACACTGACATGGACAAGCAGGGCTTGTCTACAGCAACTGGCAGCCACAAACAACATTTATTTGGGAGATCTCCAGACACCAGGTGTTGTCAAGCATCCCCCCGATTTGGAAAGCAAGAGATGGTGAGAGGAGGGCGCTTGCAAATCGGCAAAAACCATCGAGCAACCCCAGAGATTCTGAAGGACCTGCGATCGACCCGAAGTCCTGCCCCCGCTTGTATTCCCCTGGGGGCGCGGTGGCCCGGAGGTGGAGAACAACCAGGAGCATCACCTGACGTCCGAAACGCGGAGCTGGAGACAGAACTAGGTACTACACGGTAATACACATCCTTCCCGTTTCTTTGCCCGTTGCAGAACAAAGCAAGGCTCGGAACAAACATACCTTGCATTCTTCAACCATGTCGCCCATCCACTTTCAGTGGTCCACCAAATGGCTTTCGTGGCTTAGACATAAGCTGGCTGCACTTTGTGGCAAGCCTCCGGCTGAAGCCACAAGGGCATCAAATGTGATGCTGACTCCTTGCTAACATGTGCGTTTCACGTGTCCCTGTTGACTGCTCACCGCTTGTTCTGCCAAACCCTCGCTGTGAATGAATCCCTCGCTGTGTATGTCGTATCCATGAACTCCAATAGTTCGAGAAAGATTCGGTTTAGAGTCTAGAGTGACTCATTTGCCCAAAGTACCCACAAACAAAGGTTCACCTTTTGGGGCCATGACTAAGAATGGATCAACAATTGGAAACTGGTCAAGAGGTCTGCTCTGAAACAATCACCGTCAGACTGGCATCCGCGGCTTTCAAACTTCCAAGCACGTAGCCCAAAGATCTAAAGCAGTGACAAGCAATTCTGGGGAGCCCAGCGGGATCCCCTTACGAACCTTAACACCCCAAAACACCTAGAGTAAAGAAGAAACAGGCGGCCAGCCTTCTCAAAGCAATCGGACATGAGTCTGTAAAAGCAAGCTAAGTCAAGCACACCAGTGGCACAAGGTCACACAAGAGTCCCTGGATGTCGAAACACTGCTGACAAATTGAATGCTTGAGGCATGCACATGCAAATCATCTAGCCGAGATACTTAAGGGACCAAGAAAGAGCTAAAATGGATCCCTTTTTGTTGCTCGCGGGCGCGCGCCCCGCAATGTGCAAGTAGGAAAAGTGACAAATATCTGATCACCGTGGATTAGTTCAAAGATGTGTGCATAATATTCAACCATATAAATCAAATCATTTATTTAAACCCAACCGTCACCTCCAATCTGCTTCGACTGCCACCTTCTGCTTCCGCCCAGCCGCCACCAGGGACAGGAACCACGCGACGTTCGCCAGCTCCGGCGGCGCGTCCTGCAGTGTTCAGCAGCCTTCAAAGTGGTCGTCAGGGTACCCCCAAGCAGGAAGATCATCTTCCAGGTACCCTCGGTGCTATGTTTGTGGGAGGGAGGGCACCAAAAAAAGTTGGTGTCCTTTCAGTTACCCTGTGACTACCAAAAGGAGACCAACTGCTCCAATCGTTGGAGAGCTCCAACCATTTTTCACCATCTGGTGAGCTCCGAAAGGATACATTTTTCACAGTTGTGAACATGCCAAGGCATGACTCCAGTGGCCATGGGAAAGCTTAAAGGCGGTCTGCACTTGACAAGCTAGTGAGAGGCTTTGACTCTGGCAGCCTCCAACCCATGAGTGGGTTCCTTGGAACATCCACAATTTTGGGAAACACTCTTTTTTTCTGCACTGGCACAGGGAAAAACCCCACACATGCGCCACAATCAGGCAACGGCTCCTCGTCTGCATGGTTGCCGTGCAGTCCATCCAACCTGGCCACCACCTCCGGCCAGTGCGGCATCAGGAGCGACAAGATACCTCCGCCGCTTGTTGGCTTTCGGAACCCGCCTCCAGCCCATGGGTTCGGGGCGGAGGGCTTTCTATCCATTCTTTTTGGCAGCAGAACACCGATGTACAAACAACATTGCCAGCTTCAAGCATCGTCAGGCTAGGCAGTCAGACAGATCCACTCAAAAATGGAAGCTTTCTGGGGCCAAGGCTGGGGACCAGGTTGTGCATGAGCTCCACATGTTGCGCCAGCTCGCTGAAGCACCTGACACTAGGAACCTTGAAGGACTCCGAATCCCAGAGCTTGCTCAGCCAATAGTCCATCGAGAAAGGGGAGGGAGGGCACTGGCAAATGATCAGAACCAAAGAAAGGGAAACCAGAGCCATGGATGTTCAAACAAACCAACTTCAAAAACGGACACCTATGTTTGGGCAAGCCATCCATTTTCAAACAACCCAACCTGAGATGGGAAACCAAAGCCATCTCGCTTTTCCACCAAACCACCCCAAAAAGCACGGGAAAAGTGAAAAGGCTCATCTTCCTTTGGGCTGTCCATGGCTGTCCCCTCCAGCCGAGCCGAGCCCTGGACTCTTGGAGCTGCAGCAGTGGCATCTCCAAGGGCCGGGACCGCCGGGCCCAGAGCGCCAGGGCCGTCCTCACGCCCTGCTCCCCGATGTGGTCCTGGCGCCGGGAGGGGACGAGGACCCGGGCTTGTAGAGGGTCGACGTATTTGTGGGTTTCTAAAATCCGTGGGCACTGGAGTCACAATCAAAACCCGGAAGTAGAAATGGCCTACCCGGAACCATGTAAAGAATTTAAAAGGCGGCCGCAATTATTTATGGCTGGGATTCCTTACCGCCCTCCCATTACCCGGTTCTTATGGCATCTTATGGCACTCTTTGTGGGGGTCCAGGGGTCCAGTTCAATGCCGAGAGCACCGATAAACGCGGGAAACGGAACATTAACTTCTTGCATTCGGGGCAGCCACTCCAGTTGCTTTCAAGGACCCCTGCCAAGGCCCCTTTTTGCCACGGGGAAATGGGCGAATCAACTCATATCTGCAAACCTGTGACCGGGATCCTTGCCCTGCTTTCTGCGGTCAGGTCTGAACGGACATCCGAGTTGTTGTGGGTTCAAGATCTTTCACCCGGCAGAACTTGCCGCTTAGGGAAGCCATGGTTGCATGGCAAAACCAAGATTTGGCCAACTCGAGTGCTCTCTTTCCAGCTCACCGAGCTCTGAGAACAGATTGAAGCCTCGAGGCCCGACGCTTTCTGGGATTGGTCTGCTTTAACCCTTGCATTGCCTCTAGCCAGAGGAAGGCAGTGTAAGGCCAACTTGCACGCATCCTGGCTGGGAATTTGCGCCCCTCCAGAACAGCGGTGAAGCCGTCTGCCTCCCGCAAACACCCATCAAACCAGCCATCCCATCAACCCTCCCCGTCCCATCTGCCAGAGAGGATGCGGCGGCCCGCGTCCAGCAACCTCGGCCGGGCGAGTGGTACCTTCCCCATTCTTTCCAGGGATCCTTCTTACTTGAAAACCTCCAGAATCCCAGCGAAAACTGCTGGTTTTTGAAAAGAACGATGGTTGAATAGAATGGTTGGAATCAAGCCCCAGATCAATGGGAACATATACATTCTCTAAAAAGATGTGATGCGCGGCAAACCAGCATTTAAATCCTACAATCCTTTCAACAGGGCGTCCCACAAAAACTTGGATCCCTGGGTGGCCATTGCCTCCGGTCCAAGCAGTCCACCTAGCTGCCGTCCAGTAACAAGGTGTCGATGTCCACGTCCAAAGCCCAGCACAACAGCGGCAATTCATCAAACTCCGCATCAGCCTCGCTGGCCCTCCTGCAAAAGCCGAGCCCAGCAAATCCTATGGATGGACAAAATCCATTTCGCACCACCTAAGAAACCCTGGAATGATGATTCCCTGGTAAATACCAACAAACACTGGTTTCCCATGGTTTCCAAGCGGTGCAGGATTTCGTGCATTCACAGTATGCAGGCTCTTAACCACCATGACATTAATATCCCCCAAAGCAAGTGTCTGCCGCATCACACCTGCTCAAACCCCTTGCAAGTGAGACCCGGTGCCGTGCTGATGTAGATTGGCTTTCTGCCAAACCAACTCTCCCAGTCCTACTTGGAGAGATTTGCCTCAGGTCCCCACAAAGACCACCCCACCTCTTCGTTGCAAGCCCTTACTTGGGATGAAGTGAGCGCCCATCTGACACTCACCAGCCGTGTCTGCTAGTCTCCTGATGACCTCCTCCTGCAAGGTTTTGGACACATCCGTGGCTGTCAGCGTGAAGACCTGTCCGGTTTTGCATCCCGTCCATGCTTGGGGGAGCCCGGCTGGCCAATATGACTGCCTGTTGCCGTGTTCTCAACCACCAAGTGCAAAACAATTGTGCCAGGCCGCATGCATGGCAAGCAGCAAACTCACCTAACCTTTGAAACTCAACACGTGATCTTCGTAGACCCATTCTGCAACCTGCACCACCGATACTCGGTCGCCTTCTTCGAAAGACTCTGATGGAAACATTGGAGTGAGAGTTGATCAGCACATGGCTTTAACAAGGAAAAGCAGGATAACTTCCCGTTCGCAAAATTGCCTTTTGGAACAATGACATGAGAATCTCAGCGCGTAATTAGTACGCATCGGCTGCTGTAAAGGGGCGCCTGGCGCCGCTTGATTGCCACTATTGGTCAGGCTTCTCTGGCTCAGTGTCAAAGGTCAGCATGCCAACCAGCTGGTGGAACTCAACATAAGAAGACACAGAAGGCATGGATTCGTCATGATTCGTCCACCAGTATTCCTGAAGTGCTATAGGTGCCCCCCCTCACCCTCGACCTGCACCTCTTTCAGGGCAACATGCGCCTTCCTCGCCGCAACGCCTCCATCCCCTTTCCTCCACACACACACACAAACACGAAACCACAAAGGCCAACACATCACCCGCTCGATTGATCCCATGGCCGTCGCCGTCCCCTCGGTCCCCCGGCCTCTGTGGCCGTCCAAAAGAAGGCCAAGACCCCCGCCACCGCCCCGAGCGCACCCGCCACACCCAGCACGCGCCCCGGCACCGAGAGCTCCTGGACCACCTCGCCGGCGAAAAAGCAGAGCGAAAGCGAAAGCGAAAGCGGAAGGAGCGAAGGCCGGCCTGGTGCACCCTGGGCTTCAGTGACCACTAAAACAATGGGGCGTGAATAGAGCCACCATCGTTTAAGGATTTTCGTCATCCAAATTGGGTCAACCGTTCTTGGGTTGAACCTTCGGATTTGCACTCCCCCAAACTAACATGGAAGCTCCTCCAATTAGCCTCTGCAAATGGAACCAAGTCTTCCACACAAAATATGGGGGCTTCCATGTTGGAGGGCAATGAGGAAGCCTACCTCCAAACAAAGAGTCGTGAACTGAACTGGGGCTTACGTCTTTTGACCTCTACTCAAACCTCTACTCAAACCTTCATGCCAGGAAAGGTATCATAGCCCATTGTCAAATTCATTGCTGAGTGGATGGCCCAAAAACAGTCCAAGCTTTATATTTACCACTACAATGGTCTTCCCAAAAAAAATGAAGTTCATGAACTCAGGAAGTGAGCAAAACTACCCACCCAATCGGCGCTTTGGCGATCTGGATTTGGGTCCGGCCTGGTTCGCCGGAGCCTCCGACCCCCCCGGCTGGGGCTTTGCGGTGGAGAGGGTCATGAAGCTTTCGTTCTTGCCGTGGATCACCGACAGGAAAAGTCCGCCTGGCCATTGGCCCTGGAAATTCGAGCCTCTACTCTCGGCTTGTTTGGAGCCAGAGGATGAGGTGGGCCATTTTTAGATCATTGCAATGGACGAAAAACCTGCAACATCTGCATTTTTTCCCCAATTCCCGGCATAAGGATCCCCAAGTAAAGGATCTCTACGGTGAGCTCCTTTTACCCCCAGAGCTCGCCATGAAGTCGGCAGAAAGGCAGCTGCAAGCACCCAAAACCATCTTGATGGCGCCCAGCCCAGTCCGCCCCCGCCTGAGAGCGGCACCAGGTCCATCAATCTCCTGCCATGCACGCAAGCCGGGCATATGGAAAACTGGGCACGCCAGGCCTCAGGCCAGCCCTGACGCAACGGCAATGGAGAGATGTGTGGAAGCGCTCTGACTCTAACGCAATAGCAATGGATGCCCCCGTTCCTGAGATCAGAGTTGATCTTGATCAGGGCTGTGGGAAATGGAATCCACTTCTGTGATACAACAAAAGGGTCTCCCAAAGACTACCACCCCCATTTAAACAGGGGATTCCCTTGTATCACAGAAGTGGGGATAAACCCCTTGATCCCACCACGGGGGCAAGCCATGGATGACTTGTGCCCACCCGCCAAATGTAAGTTGTCCAAACACCGCCCGGCCAAAGCAACGTGTGTGTCTCCAGTGCTCTGGGTGCATTGAACGACTGGGCTGCAAATTTGTCAAATGCATGGCCCGCCAGGCGCACTTGATGAACCAGTCTTGGAACAAAGTGATATGTTTCTAATGTGTTGATCCTGGCAACCTCCCAAACGGCACCATCATTGAGCTCCAAATCTCCACCCCTTCGCCATCCAAATTGACTGCAACAAGCACTTTCGCTTGCTCCCCACCAGTGCGTCACCTGGCCAAGGCACCAAAAAATCATACCGCAAACATACACATTGACGTGCACGTGCTGCACACACTACATGCATATCAAAATATTCATGACTCATATGTCAATCAGCTGCTTCAGCTTTGGCAGGGATAAGCCGCCCCCGCCCTCCGCGGTTCGAACCGCCGGTCCTGTTGCCCGACTTCCCAGGGGCCGCGGCATCGATGGGCAGGTCGATGCGGGCCAAAGGGTCCTTTATCCGGGGCTTCCATTGGCTCACGGATAGCAACCCAATTTCAGCTTCCTTCTAATTGGTGGCTTGGATTGATGCGCTTGCCCTCTACAAGAAACCAGAGGTTCAAATCCCCAAACCACCAACTAAGGGATACCTCACAGTTAACCCGTGGTGTGTCACGATAGGGGAACCAAAACAAATCGTGTGGTTTCTTTTGTTGTCCCTCTAAACCAAGCCCGTCGGGTACAACCTAACCCGTTTGGGTGAAAAAAGGGGCAACCTCAAATTGTGTACAATGTTCTTCTTGCCGTCCCTCTAC